GATTGCAAGCTCACCCCACCCCCTACACTCTCTTGCCGCTTTGCGAAAACCAGCGGGCACGTGCAATTCATGCAGAAGATGCCCTTGATCACCTGCCTGGTGGCCAATGGGGCTGGTGCTCCTGGGCTCCACAGGACAGCGATGCGCAGGGAGACAGTTCTTGGCAGCCTACCAATCAGCAGGCTGACAGGCTCCCCCCCCCCCCGCCCCCGTCTCCCTGTGAAAAGGGCCTATTGACTTACCTGTAGCGTCAGCCTGAGAATAAGCTTTGTTCCCACAAACCTTGAGGCTGCAGAGGTGCTCCCAGGGGCATAAGCAGGGAGACCCTGTACTGCACACCCCTTGGCCTCGTTACGGCTTGATGATGCCTCCCGAAAGGAGCTTATAAACTCACCTGGAGCCCTGAGTTTAGCAACTGTCAGCCAGGGGACACCTCCAGATCTCCTGGCCTGGGGACTATTAGGGTTTTTTATTGAAGCCCCACAGAAGTGTGTTTATTTTCAACTTTAAAAACTGCTGCTTCGCTCTCGCTGGTTTGGCTCACTGTATAGAGTGTAGGCCTGCAGATTTGATCCTGGTCTAGGGCACATGCCCAGGTTGCAGGCTTGATCCCCAGTAGGAGGTGTGCAGGAGGCAGCCAATCAATGATTCTCTCTTATCATTGATGTTTCTCTCTTTCTCCCTCTCCCTTCCTCTCTGAAATCAATAAAAATATTTTAAAAAACCACAACAAACAAACAAAAAACTCTGCTGCCTGAGGGCTAGCTTCCATTCAGCCTGAAACTAAGTGCCAAATGAGAGTCCTCACCTTGGAATACTGACAAGTCTTGGTACATCCTCCACAGTGGGGGACTAATAAAAATAAACCAAGCTGTTTAGACAATCACAAAGGTTTGAGAGATAACCAAGAGCTAGGGCAAGGTTGAATGATAAGTTTCATCACCTACACAAGGCCACTTCTTCAAGACAGAGAGGTAGCTATTGCACTTGACATGTAGAAAAATCTTGAATATCCACACCAAGACACAATATAAGTTAAAGATAGAGAATCATGGGAGCAGAAAGAGAAAAACAACTTGTTACATGCAAAGGAAATTCCATAATGCTTTCAGCAAATTTTTCAGCAGAAAAATAATTTTTAATCCTCACCCAAGGATATGTTTTATTGATTTTAGAGAGAGGGGAAGCAGGAGAGAGAGAAACATTGATGTGAGAGAGAAACATCGATCAGTTGCCTCCCGTACACACCCTGACCAGGAACCAAAGCTGCAACATTTTTGGTGTACAGGATGACATTCCAATCAACTGAGTGACTGGGCCAGAGCTCAGCGGAAGTTTGAAGACCAGAAGGGAGAGACATTACAAAGTGCTGAAAGGAGAAAACTTCAGCCAAGAATACTCTACCCAGAAAAGTTACCATTCAGAATTGAAGGAGAGTTAGAGTTTTCCAGATAAGCAAATGCTACAGGAGTTAATCACCACAAAACCAGCCTTACAAGAAATGTTAAAGGGACTTCTTTAAGCTAAAAAACAATGGCACTAATTAATAACAAAGAAAACATACAAAAGTAAATTCTCTCTGGTAAAGGGAATATGTAGTAAAAGTAGTGGGATAATCACTGATAAAGCTAGTATCAAGGTTAAAAGACAAAAGTAGTTAAGTTAACTAAAACTACAATAATTAGTTAAGGGATACATAAAAAGATGTAAAACATGAATCCAAGAAAACACAAAAT